CTCCACTTTATTATGAAAAAAGGAGCTCTGGTAGCATAGTGCCTAAGGCACTTAACTGCTAACCAAAAGGCTGGTGGTTCAAACCCGCCAGCCACTCCTCGGAAGGAAGACTGCGCAATCTACTTCCATAGTGATACTGCCTTGGCAACCCAAGGAGGAGTCACTATGAGTCAGGTCCAACTCAAAAGCACATAAGAACAAAAACAACATTATGAAGAAAAAAACAGAGAGAAATTAAGAAATTTGCTAATCATCACATACCTATTAAGTGACAAAGGTTATTAGCTATATGCTTTTATTAGCTTTAGGTAGCACTGTGACTCCAGAGACTAAAGTCTTAGGTGCTATACCTTAAAAAACCAAACCATTGCCAATGGGTAGATTCCAACCATAGGAACCCTATACGACAGAGTAGAACTGCCCTAAAGTGTTTCCAAGGCTGTAATCTTTATGGAAGCAGACAGCTATATCTTTCTTCTGTAGAGTAGCTGGTGGGTTTGACTTGTTGATCTTTTGGTTCTCAGACAAGTGCTTTAACCACTGTGCCACCAATCACACTATTTATTAAATGTTCTGGAAGTAGAGAACTAAATATGCTGGTTGGCTTCCCTAGTGACTATATCACACAACTCTAAATAGTTAAGCTTTAAGCATTTTATTGTACTCATATTTCACATAAACTTTAATTTTCCATTATGAAAACGGCATACACACACATTATAGAAAATTTTAAAAATATAGAAAAATAAAAAAAAAAGTGAGGTGGTATGATTCATTTCCACTCCCCAAAGACAAACACTTTACATTTTCATACCATTCTCTTCTACTATTTTCTGTATTTATGTTTTTCTTTAACCTCCTACATGACTGTAAGCATTGCACCAATACAACTTCAAAAGCATTTTCCCAAAATTTTGGAACTTTTATTAATATATAACATACATTAAAATCACATTTTTTTCCTAGAAATAATTTTTAATGGCTATATGATATTCTAGGAGCTCTGTGGCATAGTGCCTAAAACATTTGACTGCTAACCAGAAGGCTGGAGGTTCAAACCCACCAGCTACTCCTCCGAAGGAAGATTGGGCAATCTACTTCTGTAGACATACCACCTTGGAAACCCAAGGAGGGATTGCTATGATGGACTCGATGCAGTGAGTTTGCTATGGTTTTGGTTTTTATGTGATATTTCACATTTTATTGCTATTTAGGCAACCACTGATACTGCTAGACATTTTGGTTTAAGAGCTGTACTAGTGTCTACTCCTAGTAATACCTTTAGAATATTCAAGTTGTAGCTTCCTATTTTTAGTTGTTATAAAGCAAAGACTTCCAACAGAAGAATATTCAAAATTATTGCATATACTATACTTTTGGAGGAGCTCTGGTGGCACGATAGTTAAGCACTTGGCTGCTAAGTGACGGTCACTGGTTTGAACCCACCCAGCAGCTCTGCAGGAGAAGACCTGGTGATCTGCTCCCATAAAGATTATAGCCTAAAAAACCCAATGGAGCAGTACTAATCTGTCCTACAGGGTCTCTAAGAGTCATAACTGACTCAACGTCACACAACATTAAAATATTGATCTAAGGTAAATTTCTTTCATGTTGCTAGATTCACAAACATATTTTCCATGAAAAAAGCTCATGGAACAGAAAATATTCTATCTAAAGATAAGATGTTCAATTCAATTATATTCAAATAAGTGAACTATTCTATAAACATATGTTTTATGACACAGATATTAAATAATTAGGAAAAATGTCCAAATCGTAAGAATGAGTAATTACTGAAACAGGCAACTGACAGTGGCAATGAAATCTATAGACAACTTTCACAGGACAACTTAAAAATGGCTTTGCTTGAAGACAAGAAATGAATGGACAATTACTTTACACACTTCCAGTCTTGTGAGGCCTTGGGTTTTATGAAGATAGGTTTCTTGTTTTCATGTGATGGGAGTAAAACATTCCTTTTTATTTTACCAACTAAAAACTTTGAAATTTCTAGCTCTAAGCATTAATATAGTTACTTCTTTGTCTTCAGATTCCACCTCAAATAGCTTTATCTCATCTCCCAGGTCAGAATGCTTCTCCTTCTCTGCTAAGAAACCCAAATTACTGAATATCATTGTCACAGTTGTAATAGTTTTATACTGTTTATCATCATTGGCTATTATTAAATCTTAATACTAGAACATTTTAAACATTTGAATTAACAATGTTCTAAATACACCTATTCCTCACTTATCAACTATCTCATTATCTGACATTTTGCATTTAAGACAACAGTAAAAAATTTACTATCCAACTATTTTGTGTGTTAACAATGTATGTTTGACAGTAACAGATGCCAAGGTGCAAGGTGAGAGTAACGCTGCTGGCTGTGATGGTTAAGGTTTTGTGTCAGCTTGGTTGGGCCATGATTCTCAGTGGCTTGGCAATTATGTAATGACGTAATTTAGCAATTATGTCTGATGTATTCATTCTCCATTTTGTGATCTGATGTGGTCATCCTCCATTTTCACATAATGTCAATTTTCACATAACAAACTGGTCTTTGGAATGTAACCATATTGTTAAGTGAGGAGTGGGCATAGTAAATAAAATAACACTATAAACAAAGAGATTTCATTTCAAGTAACGTTAATATTTAAGAAATATTCTATAGAAAATGATCAAAATTAAAACATACCACTATTTTGGCCAAGATGCCATCATCACCTGCATCTAAGGTAACCACAGCTTTGTCAGTCTCGATTTCACATAATGCATCTCCAGCACTCACTGCTTCACCTATAAAACAAGAGTATGTTTGTTTGGGTTTTAAATATATGAATATCTATATATGGAGTGTGTATATGAATAATAAACACCAAAATGTTCAGAAGCTATTTTTAGGCTGCAGAATTATAAATATGTGTGTTTGTACGTATGCATGTATGTATGTTTGTATTTTCCAGCTCTATAATGGACATAAAGGAGCTCTGGTAGCATAGTGCCTAAGGCACTTGACTGCTAACCAGAAGGCTGGCAGTTCAAACCCACCAGCCACTCCTCAGAAGGAAGATGGGGCAATCTACTTCCATAGTGATACTGCCTCAGAAACCCAAGGAAGGGTCACAATAAGTTGGGTCCGACTTGACGGCACATAACAACAGCAGCAACATAATGGACATAAATTTCAATTTGTTTTGAGAAAAAATATGCTATTACAAAGATCACTGAATATTAAAAATAAAATCACTTTTAGAGATGACAGCAATGAAGGCATATCCTCCCCAGAACAAATCAATGCCAGACCCCACATTTTTTAATATACTTTTACTATTCTAGGTAGAAAAAATTTTTAAATCAATAGCACTTCTGGGTTAACATGGCAGGGTGAGTTAAGAAACCTTGTCAGTACCACATACACAGTATAAATGAGAACAGCATAAAAAGAGAAAATAAAAGACGTATGTGAGGTCAAATAAATATTTCTGCACAACGAAAACAGTATATGGAACTCAAAAATGATGAGCAGGACCTGAAGCTACAGACTTGCTGGTCTCTGGGTCTAGAAGCAGGTTTGAGGAATGGGGCTTATTTGGAGGAAAGAGAATTAAAAGTAGCCTGCTGGAGACAGGTGCCTCAAATCAGATTCACTACTTAAAGCTAGGATCAGGCCAGGGTTTCTCTACTCATGATAAAAAGAGACAAGATAGGCAATCAAAACCTGTTAAACAGGGCTATGACTTCAATCAGAAACTGCAGGTCTAGGAGATGGGAGACAAAAACATGGCCTCAGTACTAGGAATGGAGCCAAGCACGGCCTCAGTACTAGAATGGAGCCAAGCCATCCTCTGGGTCCATAACTGTATCTCCCAATATCCCTAATATCTCTAGCAAAATTCCTACACTAGGGAGTGGGAGAAGGGGAGAGTGAGGTATGAGGTGAGAAGAAAGACACTGAAGCAAAGTAAAAAAATCTTTCACTCAAAAACCTTTTCTAAAACAAAATTCTAAAATCAATGAAGAACTCTAATGCTAAGAAAGGAAGTTATAAAATCAATAACTGGAAAAGAAATGTATTTCAGATGTAATTAATTTAGTGCAATATGCCAAAGATTTAAAAGTATCTTGTGGATGTTCAAAGAAATAAATGAAGGTAAAAAACCATTATGGGAATAAGAAATTATAAAGAAACCCCTCCCCCCCAAAAAAAGGTACAGAAATGTAACATACACACACACACACACACACACACACCCTCATATTGAGAGTTAAGAAGTTTAGAATAGTGGTTATCTTTGGGAGTGTATTAACTAGGTGGGGGCATGAGAAGTCTTGTGGTTTGCTAGAAGTGTTCTATATCTTGATATAGTGCTAACATGAGTATATGGGCATGTAAAAACTCACTGAGCTATAAACTTCATGTAAGTTATACCTCAATAAAAAATAAATAGAAAAGGGAAGAGTATAAAACTGCTTAAATATGAATCCTTATTATACACACTGTAGAGAAACTGCAGACAATCAATAATAAAAACACAATCTTAAAAGCCATCAGAGGGAGGAAAAAAAACAGATTACCTCAAAGAAATGACAGACTGAGAGCAACTTGTCAGTAGCTGCAATAAAGTAAAAATATCTTCCAAGCAATAAGGAAAAATAACTGTCTAGAATTTTATATATGCAGCCAAGCCATCATTCAAGAAATAAGGGAAATGTATTTTTTAGATATATGAAGGCACCACCTATTCATGATCACTAAAAGAGCTATTTTAAGATGTAGTCCATCAAGAAGAAAAGTGGACAGAGGAATATGGGAAATATGTTACCACAGAAATTGATAATAGGTTAATGATTAGACACAAAGAAGATAGTAAGTATAAAAAAAGAGTAAAACTAAAACTACAAAAAACAATCAAACAAATAAGGGAATGTTCAGATGATAAAGCATGCTAAGAATTTTGATATAGTTAGGAGGAAAAGAACTGAGTAATTCAAAATTTTACTGATAAAGTATAGTGAAATATATATTCTAAAACCTCAAAAGTATACACATAAATAAGATCTATAGCATTCAAAAGAACAGAGGAAAAATGTAAAATAACAAAAAGCATCTAATTGAAGACAAGCACATGAAAGGAAAAAAACAAAACATAAAAAATGGTAGAAATATATCAATAGTTGCAATAAATATAAAATGGATTCAAATCACCTATTAAAACTTAGATTATCAAAATGAATACAAAAAAAAAAAAAAAATCTAGGTAAATGTCACTTACAAGAGGCAGGCCTAAAATAAAACAGAAAAATTTCCAAATAAAGGGGCAGAAAACATATAACACAGAAACACACATCCCTCAAACACACGCCAAAAACAGCCATGACAGCAATAATAATGGGGGCATTCAATAGGAAGACATGAAGGAAAACCTACACAACTAAGTGAAAAATATGCTCTGATGGTTAACTGAACAGAAATGACTTCATTCTACACCAAAACCAAAAAAACTCACTGCCGTCAAGTTGATTCCAACTCACTATGATCCCTCTCTGGGTTTTTGAGGCGGTATTTCTACGGAAGTAGATTGCCTGGTCTTCCTTTCAAGGAGTGGCTGCTGGGTTTGAACCACTAGCCTTCTGGTTAGCAGTCAAATGCCTTAGGCATTACGTCTCCAGAGCTCCCCATTCTATACCAAGATATTCAAATAGATGGTTACATGATATCCTCAATTAAAACAGCTCTTACATTTTGTTGCACTGTCCAAAATCAAATGTTCAATTGCCACAGAGGCTAGTGGCTACATCTGACAGCTCAGATAGAACATTTCCATCATTCCAGAAGGTTCTATTGAATAGTACTATACTGTAAAATTCCATTCACAAATCTAAAATCCTGGTATAACACAAATATTAACAATAAATGTAAAGAAGTATGATAATGGGATATTATTCCACAGTAAAAGATACGAATTCCTGATACATGGTACAACATGAATAAACTGAAAACCATGCTAAATGAAAGAAGTCACAAAAGACTACCTACTGTATGATTCTATTTACATAAAATGTCCAGGAAAGGGAATTATTGAGAGAGAGAGCAGATCAGAATTGTTAAGGTCACAGATGGAGAGAAAGGTGATCTGTAACCAGGAACCAGGAACCTTTTTGGGGAAATGGAAATGTTCCACAGCTAGACAGTGGTGATAGTTGCACAATTCAATACTGTTGCTAAAACCCACTGAATTGTACAATTAAAAGGGTAAATTATTTGGTTATGTAAATTATACCTCAATAAAGTTGTTAAAAGAGTATTATACTGAAGGAAAACAATGAAGCTGTTGGAAATGTACTTTTCAATTTTCATTTTTTTAATTTCAGCACCATAAACAAGTACAAATTCCCAGAAATAACAGAAACAAAAGCCACTTCTATAGAAGGAGCAGGGCCATATAACTCTTTAGTGGCACCTAGTGGCACAGATAATAAAGCTTCCTTGAAAACAGTTTTACTTCTGAATTTTATACAATAGTATATATACTAAGACTTGCACAAAACTATCAGCCACTCCTCAGAAGGAAGGTTGGGCAATCTACTTCTGTAGTGATACCACCTTGGAAACCCAAGGAGGGGTTGCTATAAGTCGAGGTCCAACTCAACGGCACGTAACAACAACAACATCATCTGAAATATTAAAAATTCCCAGTAAAGTAACAAAAGTAATGCTTACAAAGAAGGACGTTATCTGAGGGATAACACCAACAGCAGCAGCAGCCAGCATTGCTGATTACACATTGAACCAGGTATGATCCAAGGAGCTCTGGCAGTGCAGTGCCTAAGGCATTTGACTGCTAACCAGAAGGCTGGTGGATCAAACCCACTAGCCACACCTCAGAAGGAAGGTTGGGCAATCTACTTCCGTAGTGATACCGCCTTGAAAACCCAAGGAGAGGTCACTAAAAGTCAGATCTGACTTGACAGCAATGAGTTTGGGTTTTTTTGGTTAGGTATGATCCAGACACTGTATGGCCAAATACTTTACCGAATTACTGCAGCCAGGTTTTGTTCCACAGTGCTTAAGTATCTCAAGAAGAAAAAAAAAATGTTTCCATGCCCTCAAATATTCTCTCACAAAAGAGGGTACCAGAATATTTTTTCCTTTTTGTTACTTCGTTTAGCAGATCTGACCTTTCACTTAATGAAAAATAAACTATATCCACTTCAACTAAAGTGAAAGTAATTAAAGCATACTCTTTTCCTGCAAAATAATGAACTTTTACTAAAGACGTAGAATAACAGCTCAATTCACACATCAAGAGATTTTGAAATTGTGGGGTTATCTAACATTTTCTAAATATTTTCTCTTTATAATGCATATTTTCACTTAATCCTTAGACTGAAATGTAGTATTCTAACCTCATTATAAAACTAATTAAACTAGCAAAGATGGAAATAATTTATAGAATATTGTATTAAATGCTGCCATGACTTAAAAGAAAAAAGAAACTGAGTTATCAATTTCTGAGGCCATGAGGTACCTTACATTTCATCTAGCTCAACTCACTCCCAGATATTTCATGGGAGAGTAGGAACTCCAAAGGACAAACCATGATTCCTAGTTCTTTTCATTGTGCCCCTATTCCTTGGCTTTTTATCTGATCACACACTACGGTATAGTAAATTACTTAGTGTGGCTTTTCTAGCCATAAGTCTTTGTCAACTCTGTGGTGGAATTTGCTGTGAGCAACTGAGGAGCTCTTGATTGTAAAAGTTATCCACCTGGGGTATTTCTGTTGGGTACAACA